AAAAAAAAGTATGCACACAATCAACCTCTTCACCTCCCAGAACAAATGGAGCGCCCAAAAAAAATCATGTTTAAAAGGGAATATCGTAACTTAGTCTAACATGTTTGCGCTCCAACTATAACAATCTTTCACCTGAAACTACCAAAGGGGAAAAATAAATAGCAATCCAACACCTACAAGTTTTAATGTCCTAAATAGACCGTGTGAAAGAACTTCATACCAAGAAATGTAGATCTACTTTATATCGTCTCACTAATGCAAGAATCAAGATAATTGGGAGCAAAAATGAGAATGCCTCATGGAGGTGGAATCTTGGAGATGAAATTTTAAACAATTAGCAACACAGTATATGCATGATACCCTACAAGATCAGTTTCACGCTGCAAGGCAGAACAAAACTATGCAACAATGATTTGGTGATTGTTATGTGCTAAATGAAGAGTTGTCATAAGATTTCAAAGCTAAGCGTTTATGCTAGCGCAAAGAGATCAAAACATATGATTAACCAGAACGCTCAAATGACCACTAATTTCATGAAATGTCACAAATACAATAGACATACAGCCAAACCTCAGATAAGTACCTCAGTTGCTGCCAAAGAAGATGACGATGGCTGCTGCATCGATGAGCAAGCACTGTCAAAAGAACCATGTGAAATATCTTTATGTTAAACGGATTTTTTTAACTTTTTATTCTTTGATAGGTGACAACAGAATTAAGTAAGAACCATGTCATCACCTTTTACCCTTTCAATACGACAAGATTTTCACTCAAGACATTCTTAGTATCCTGAATTGAGGGTAGATAGATTCCTTTTTCAGTCTAGATCATTTATCCTTTTTTTCAGATTGCATGAGCATTAAGAATGTTCTTGGAGAAAAACTTTTTTTTTTTTTTTGTCATATCTTATTTTGTCTCATTGTGAGGCTAAATATGTGAAGTGAAATAAATGTCTTAATTTATACTGGCCTCGCCATATACCACAAAGTAAGCTCAAATAAGATTCAACCAATCAACCACATTTTATAATGATGGTCACGTGCAAACACAATTGGTTTTTAGCAGTAAGCTTGAGTGGAAAATGTTTCTGGATATCTTACACTTTCAAATTACTTTGCAACTTGTACATTGTTGTTTACAGAATAAATTATCTTGATTCATGGTATATCAAGAAAACACTACAAACATTTTTAAACTTACTTTTCTTGGCCAACAATTTTGTACTTGTGAACAGGTAAGGCATTTATCTCTTCCTCGGTCATTGATTGAGTTGTAGTAGCATTATCGTTGTCCAGTGCTCTCAAAGTATCATAATCTGTAGGAATAAACCAAGAAAACTCTTGTATTCTGGATAAATAATCATTCAAGTTCAACCAAGCTTTGCATGGAATGTCTGTGAATACACCAACACTTTTACAATACAAGTAAAAGATGAAAATAAATAACAAGAATAGAAACTGTACCTAGATCATCGAGTTCACGATCAAGAAGTGCAAGTTGTAGCCTTAGTCCTTGTAACCGTCCTCGTGTTGCAAAAGCAATTGATGGTGGCATGTGCAGCCGCAATTCTGTGTGACCAAGCAAACCACTGGCAGCTGCAGCATGTGCCCGGGCCTGCACTTGAAGTTGCTGACAAGTTGCATACATCCTCAGGCTTGTCGCCACCAAAAAGACACCTACGACTAGCCAGAGCTGCATTCATAATACCCATGATTACCTCCCCAATTGGTTTTTTAGATTTATGCTTCATAATTGCTAACCAATAACAACAGCATGTATACAATGAATACAGAAGACAACGCACCAAAAAGTTTGGAGACAACTGATGAGAGTTCAAAATCATGAATAGCATGAGAACTGCTAAACAAAAACAAGAGGATTGATCAATACTGATCTGTGATAAAAATAACATTAAGTGAAATGAATCTAAAAGAAACAAAAATATTACCTGTGACTAGAAAAGCCAGTGAATTAGTATTTACTGGCCGAGCTGTATGCATACGCTGAGAAGAAAGAGGAAAAAATCAGTGTGATAAATGTTCATGGTTTGGAATAAGATGAAGATAAAAGAGAAGATGTGTATACAGACGTGCATAATTAAAAGACATACCATTGAAGGTTGTTCGGGTACATAACCTGGAAATCCACTTTCAATATCTGCTCTCGTCCCTCGGAAAACAAAACTCATCTGTGCAAAAGGTTTCAAGTTTTGCCTCTGCGAAGAAATACTGCAGACTGCTGTAATACAATGGAGTAGCTCTCTCAAGACTTGAAACCCTACCGGGGCAGTCAATTAGTCACAGTAAGGTCTTAGCACATGATGCAGTAAAGTTAATCCACCATGAGAATAACTTTGCATAAAGAATCAAATGGAGTTAGAAGTTGTAGAACGTAACACTTCAATGAGTCTAGAAAGCATGTAGGGTCCAGTCTCATTGTGTGCTATACAATTAGAGATGTTAGTCGACAAGAACCCATCTTTAACACAAAAGCAAGTTAGACCGTACACCTTTTTTTTTTTTTGGGTCATTTATTGTAGCCATAGGTAAAGCACCTATATACATTACCAAAGCATTACCATGTTTGTTTCCAGACAATTACAGACAAAAAAGTGTAAGTAGATTCAACCATACTAATATTACCATTCAACAACAGCGTCCCAAGACTACCACCCAGTTGAACTCTGTATTTTAAATAAAGTCAATTCTCAATAGCTCGTAGTTCAGCAAGTCATAACGCAGAACCTTCTGAAAGAGACAGCTATTGTATTCCCTTTCTCGTATCAAAATGCTTTTTTTTTTTTTTCTGGACAAAATGCAATCAAGTTGTAATTTATATTGCAACTCTCAACTGCAATATTAATTCCCTATGTCATGCCTAGAACTTAGTCTCCTAAAGGTTCACATCCGAAAATGTTTTGTTCCACACATATCAGAACAATATTGTCCATCCCATGAGAAATTAAAGTTATTTAAAGCAAGCAATAGTAAAAATAAGCAGATCTAAGACTAAAAATCAACAAAGTTAATTGAGCAAGTGGTTTAAGAATTAGCAAGTTTCTAATTGTTTCCCCAATTAGAATAAGGACTTTTCCAGAGATAGATCGGACCTACCGATAAAGATTATACCGTTCACAGAATAAGAGAGAGGGAACAATCCTATTTATTCATTTTTTAAAAACCGACTGACCAAATAATTTTGACATCACATCGTTTGTAAAGTAGTCATAGGCACATCGCCAGCAGGTTTTAATATTGCCAGCTGAATTCCACTCAAATATTATATATAAACGCATATATATATATATATAGACACACACATATGTATATATAAAATTACAAACACATTATATATTTCTTTAATCTTTATGGATATATGATTGCAACCAGGGTGTTCTGATTGTTTAAATAAAACCTCCCTTTCTATAATCACTGGCAAAAACTCATCAAATTATTCCTTGACTATTCAACATGCGGAATTTTGTCGGCATAAACAAGATCTAAACATGCATAAATTCCAACCACTCCCGAAAAATTAAAATAAAATAAGATGAAGCGGAAACACGCGCGAAATTCAGTCCTAAGAAAACAAAAGGAAAATCTGTGGTAGAACAACAAGAGCATGACTTATATAATCGAAATCAAATCACAAGATTCAACTACGCGGAACCAGCATTGTTCAGTAAGCAAAACAACAAAGTAACGGAGCAAAGAAAATCGCGTTTCTATTGTCCGAAGGGATTTTCACGGAAACCAAACAGGAGAAAAATACTCACAGGTGTTGAGAAAAGTGGTCAGAATCACTTCTTTAGATCTCAGAATGTAGACGTGGAAGAGTGAAGAAAGACGAAGAGATCCGATCCAAGGCCTAGATGTTTCTGATGTACTGTCTCACTCACCAACGCTCTTCTTTGTCCTAGCGGTTTTAATTTTTGTTTGCTTTTTTTATTATTTTGGTTTATTATTCACATTCATTCACGATTTTAACAGTCAATTGTAATAATAAATTGATAATTGGTTTGGTGAATGGTATGTTCACAAGAGGGCTCTAGATACTGCCACGTCGTCTCGCTTTATTCAGTCGCTGCCACGAATTCAAAGTGGAATGACATTCTTAAAAAAAAAAATAGAATAAGTAGCAGAATAAGAAGAATTCAAAGTGAATAATTCGGATATTTTTGGTGGCAAAATGCGTTTTTTTATTTATTTTTTTTGGGTACCAAATCAGAAAACACGTGTAATTTAGGTAACCAAAAAGAAACGACTAAATTATTTTTAACACCATCTTCTTTTTTTTTTTTTTTGGGTAGAAATATATCTTATCTTCATTTTAGTGGATGTAGAATATCAAAAGTATCTGCTTAAAAAGTATTGATGTGTTTTTTATCAAAAAAAAAAAAAAAAGGTATTGATGTGTTTCCTTCCGAGGAGAAAAAAAGTGGTCGTTTAGCTGGCATTAATTTTTCTCATATTCATGTGAATTTAGTTTGATAAATATTGCTCATTAGACCTATTGACGGCTGAATTCCGCCAACAGAAATACGCCGGGTTACCCGTTGGTATCTTGATGGGTTACCGGTTGAAAATTAACGGTATATTTGAAATCAAATTGTGAAGTGTTTGTTGTGTTTTGTAAGCATGAGTCTAACATTTGAATGAGAGCACACACGAGATTTATAGTGGTTCACTCTGTTAATGAAAAGCTACATCCACTTATGTATGATATATTTCTCTTGGACTCTTTACAATTTACATGCACGTATATTCTCTCTATGGTCTAATACTCAAGAGGTCCCCCTTTGTGTATGGGGCTTTTCCCCTTTTATAGCTCAAGCTTCATTCGTGGGTGGTTTTCTTTCGTAGGTAGAAGTACTCGAATGACCTACCTTTCTAGGCTAAGACCGTAGCCCACTAATCACCTTTTGGACTGTTCACTCAGCCAATTGGTCTTCTATTACGACTTTGTGGATTCCTGTAATCCCTCACTGCCCACTGCAGGGCGGTTTAGGGGTTTGCAAGTAATGACCGTATTGCAGACGTCTCCCACCCCTAGACGCAACTTGTGATGTCAGGCTTTTTTCTGAAGAGCGTTCCCCTCGGCGTCTGTGCCACGCAGACCTTATGTCCTTTCTGATGACCCTTTCCGAAGGTTGTTGCATAAGTTCGACAGCACAATTGGTCGACGCCCTAATTTGGGCCTTTCATTACAACGTTGAGGGGAAGTGAACTCCAAGCGTCGAGGGTAGTCAAACTCCAAGCGTCGAGGGTAGTCGAACTCCAGGCGTCGAGGGTTGCCACCTCTTGAGGGAAAATAGGGTCACGTGTCACGCTGTCGCCATTCCACATGTAACCCACATTTTCCCACACAACAGCTGCCCCCCAGGTCGAGGGTTTCCTTTAGACAACCTTCGAGCTAGGTTTGGGTGTCTTTCTATGCCTCGGGTGTGGGAACCTAATTCTAAACCTTTTCCCGTAATGATAGCCTTGACGCTTCAGCTTTCCTCGAGGAACGTAACCGTCGCTTCGGTCAGTTCACCAAGCTGATGTAAGGCTTCATTTTTGAAAAAGCGAATACGAGCCCTTTGATCGTGCCCTCTCACCTTCCTGCCTTTGTTTGTTGCCGTCAAATCTGGGGAAGATGCCCCTGCCGTTGGATTTTACGAACTTAATCTGACGGCTAGGGGTAGAGGGTTTGTTTTCCTTTAAATATCCCTCGAACCGAAGCCATTTTTTACCAAACTTCTTGAACTTCCGTCATTCTGCCTGAGTTCTTTCTCGCAGACTCCTACTCACATCCCTTGCTCTCCTCGGTGTTTTGTAAAGCTATCTCGGAACTCTCCTTTGCCCAGATTCTATCTTACAGGTAAGCTTTAATGATTGCTCGTTCGTATTTGCTTTAATAACTTTCACTGTCTTTCCTATCGAACCATAGATATGTTAATATGTGGAATGTATGGAATGGAGACCTTACCATTCGGTTTGCCTGACCCACATAGGATAGTTTTTCTGATTTCTGGCTGATTGTGGTCTCTAACTCCTGGGTTCAAATGAACCTCGTTTGTTTATGAACATTCACCGTCATCATTTTTGTATAAATGGTCGACGTTATGTTTGAGAGGTGCTAGTGGTAATTGAGCAGTTGTCGCTTTAGTATGGTTGTCGTTTGCTTCTTCCTCTCGACTTAGGATTTTGACTTAGCTCCTTGTCTTTTTCACCACCAGAACAATGGCCTCAAACCCTACTCGTCGAGAGGACCCGTCCATTGTGTGACCAAATTCCCCTTCCGCGGTGGAGATCTCATGGTCATCTTCTTCATCATATGGCAACTCAATATTGAGTGAAATAGAAGAGTACATGGGCGGACCAAGCGAGGGTTTCGGCAATGAGTTTGACAGCGTCGACCGTATGCTGGAGGAAGAAGTAAATAAGATTCCCTTCACAGGAGGCAGCGTAAGTGGGGTCGCCGCTTCAATGGTGGATGCCCCCTTGGCTGCTATGAGCGGAAACCCAGACAGGCCATTTTTTACGGCTGATGTCATGGCGTCGAGGGTCCGAAATAAAGATATTATTCGGGCTGTTAAGGAAGGTTGGATCGACAGGAGTTGGTTTGAGTACCTCCTCCCGGATGTACATTTTAGGACCAGCATGCCCCCCATCGGGTATCTCCCCATATATACTCGGGCTGTTACGGTGGGGCTGACTTTGCCAGTTCATCCCTTTGTTAAAGACTATTGTCATTTTTATGGCATCTCTCCTGCACAATTGGCGCTGAATTTTTGGTATTGTTTTGCCGGCGCCTGGGTTTTTTGGAGCTAGTGGTTTGATATGGATCTACCGCTAGATGAATTTATATTTATGTACAGACTATGCCACATCACCAAATGTGAGCGATGGAATTTTTTGAGTGGACATGGGCGATCCTAGCCTAGGCTTGGAACGCTGATACGAGGTATCCCCTCATCGTCACATGGGTGGAAACCCATGTTTTTCATGATTCGGGGGCCTTTTAATTTTCACCCCGAAGACCGTATGCCCCACCGAAGGAAGGTGCAAACTTCGTTTGGGAATATGGGTGTGAATTTGATACTTCGTTCCTTTCCCTTTTTCCTTCTTCTTTTTTTTTTTTTTACGCTGATAGTTCTTTTATCTTTCAGTCAGCCACGATCGACCGAAGCTTTCTGGAAATAGATTGGCGAGGGTTGAAAAGGCCTTTTTGTGCCCAGAGAAGGCTCGCCACATCGACACCCTCTTAACTGAGTCCAACCTCAGAGAGGCAGGGTTGATTCTTGACCTTCCAGACCTTTCTGATCTTCGCATTGTCTATGAATATTTTCATTTAAGTGACGAAGGTAAGCTCCTGGACTTGGCTCCACGCTTCCTTTAATCTTATTTGGACTAACTGTTCGTTGACTACATGCTGACTGGTCATTTGCTCAGAAATGGCCCTTTGAGGATTCAGCTTCCAGGCAACCAACAGCCTCAGCCTGTCCCGCAGCCTCAATCCAAAGGGAAAGACAGCACCTCTTCTCCGGTGTCGAAGAGAAAGAAGACCGCGGAAGTTTCTTCGAGGTCAGGGGTGGAAGCTCATGCGCCTAAAAGATGGCGCAAAGAGAAGGCGCCGGTGACCGGGACTTGGACGCCGGTAGTTCTGATCCCCGCCATTCCTGGTATGCCTCTGGCGCCTAGGGAACGCGTGATTATGCCGGGTAAAAAAATTATGGATTCCAACTTCCAAGTCCCGGATATTTCTGACGCCGAGATTAAGGCCATGCTGAAGCTTCCTCCCGTTTTTCCCTCGTCTTCCAAGCCTTGTACGAATCATTCCTTGAGCTGCACTAGATCTCTGCCGCTCAGTCTTCTCTGGTGGATCGTTAGTGCAAGCAGATTTCCTTCCAGATTCATGTAAGTTTTGACCGTGCTTTTTTCATTTTTAGATTCGTTCTTCGTATCTTTATTCTGACTCCCAATTTTCTCAGGGCCTAGTCCTTGCCATTCTCAATCTTATTGATCTAGTCAAGGTTAAGGAATGTGGCAAGGAGATGGACAGCCTGGAAGCCAAGCTTACCTCTCTTCTTGATGCTGCCAATGAAAAGTGCTCATCTGCTGTTGAGGAGAGGGACGTAGTTGTGGCCAAGCTGGAGAGTTTGGAAGGAGAACTGGCCAAGCTGCCAACTCTTGAAAATGAGTTGGTCAGTTTGAAGGCCACAGTCGAAGAGTTTACAAAACGGGCCTCTGAGAAGAAATCGGCCGAAGCTACGGAGGCTGTGAAGAAGTGCTTTGCCGAGGCAAA